GTATTGACTTTTAATGTCTGTATAATTTAAATTGCACATTGATCGTATGCTAAGGAAGATATGCTGCAAAATTAAATATGAAGAGGGCTATGACTGATGAACAGTAAGGTTTTGTCTTAGCAGACAAGAGTTAAACCGGGAACTGCGGGCAATTAGTGGTGGGGGAGGGGGAGCCGCCAAGACGCTGGGGACAGGTCTGGAGAAAGACCGGCTTTTTCTCAAATGTAGCGGGTAACCATCCTGTTCATTTTATTCAGTATTTCTCCACTAAAATTCTTCCAAAGAGTGAGATGATCGCTTAAAAGATAATGATTCACTTCAAATAGACCACCATTTCTCTCTCCTCTTTCCCCGACAATTTAAAAGACGGTGGAGTTTATCTAGCAGTAGGCACAGGCCACTGCAGAACCATTTGAAAAATCCTGTCAGTTCAAATAACTTCATGCATGCATCTGAGAATGCCGAAAACACAGATGCGGCCGCCGAAGTGCAGTCAGGAAGCGAAAACTTTCTTGTATGTAAGAATTAGCTGTTCCATTCTTTCCAAATAAACGATCGAGTCCAATTAAAAGATAGTTTCCTCTATTGTGTGCATTTTGTTGTTGTTGTTGTTGTTGTTGTTGTTGTAACCGAACAAATCAAAAGTCACTCTACGCACTGAATAAAATTAGTAGACTACGAGATTCATTCAAAGTCTGTTTACAAAGTATCGAGCAAAAGAGCTCCCTAAAGAGTAAAAGTCTTGCCAGATATTTGAACTTCTATTAAAATAGGGGGCGGAGGCTTGTTGTAAATATTTCACACTTAATTCGTTTGTTATTTTAACGCATCCCGCTCCTTACAGCTCAAGGGTGGAGTATACACTATGATAAGGAAAAGCCCTCTTGGTATCATAAACCTGCTTTAACTGTCCGCATGTGAAATGATAGGTTTGTACTGGGCTACAAGATAGAAAAAGATAGATGGTTTGTTTTGATAACATTTTGACTTGGAGATACTCTGGCATTCAGAGTTGAAGATTCTGTCCAGAAGCATTTCAAAAGGCTCTTTGGGTGGGGTTTTTATGTGGAGCAAGATAAAAGTAGACAATGAAGAATCCGAAAGTGAATGATTTTTATCGGAATGTTTTGCCCAAAGCCAATGTGATTTGTTGCATAACAAGAACCTCTGTTTGCCGGTTGCAAACGCAGTAAATAAATAAAAATCGGCAGAAATCACAAATTCACACAAGCTAGTAAAGAACAACTGAAATACACCATCTTTGGATGAAAATATCGTCCCGCCTTGGACAATAAAAAGTTTTGTTGTGTGTCCGTCCCCACTCATCTAAAGGAGCTCAAAGATTTGGATTTCCTGACCACTGTGATGTCCAGTGATGGATTTCATGTCCTTGTGCCTAGGAATCCCGGCGGCGGGACGGGTTCACAAGGCTCGCTGTCTTGACTGAATTATACTGTATTTAGCTCCCTATTAGCCTATACTGGGGTTCTGGTCCTGTTCAATTGTGGATTTTCCCAGTGAGCGAAATAGAATTTCGCTCAGAATTTAGCCCTGGTCTCTGTGGGTTGCAGTGGTCCCAAAGCACGAGAAAGTGCGGGGCTCCAGGCTGCCACCCTCAGTCAGCCCCACCCCACCCCCCACCCCTGCCTGGATCCCTGCTCCCTCATTTTTTTCACTCCGACCCTCACTGCACCTTAATTCTAGGAAGGACAGCGGAGGCTGGGGCTGAGACTAGAGCCCCGGCCCCACCGGTCTGGAAATAAGGATAAAGATGGGGCTAGGGCTAGAACCCGGCCAGGGTCCTGGTGACTTACCGCTGCTGTCCTGACAGGGCGAGGTCCTGTCCAGGCGCACGTGATGCTCAGCTCTAGGCAGCGGCCCGAAGGCCTGCACGCATTTGCCTGCCGTCGCTTTGCCGTAAAAGGACTCATTGTCCAGCGTCTCCATAACGTGCTCCAACGCGCCTCCTGTGCCCATGTAAAAGTCACTGTTTTTACTTGGCGGGCTCTTAAGGGCAAACTTCTCACTCATAATTTCCATAATCCTGGAAGGCTGTCTGAGAGCTCTCAGGACGCAGAGGATGGAGGGCGCTGAGGGAGGAGGGAGCAGTGGGCGGGAGGAGGGAGGGTCAGAGAGCAGGGAAAGGGAAGCAAGCCCCGCGACGCCAGGAGCTGCCCAGCTCCCAGCGTCTTAATATGTTCGGGCTGCAGAAGGGGCACCCGAAGTTGCTTTTATATCTTGAAACTCAGCTGGGTTCATCCGGCAACCTCCCAGTCCTAATGAATATGAAAATAGGCA